TGGAGAGGAAACATGAGGCTTGCCATGTGAATGTGCGAAATGCCGACTACGGAGTCAACCATCCAAATGGGCGATTTTAATGTAGACACTGAAAAGTATAAAAGTGTGATTGTAAAAGCGGCCCTAGCGAACAGTAACAATAATAGCACGAAGTTGCTGCAGGTTTGGGCAAACAACGGACTATCCATTATGAACACCTTCGAGCATCGAAGCGTGCATCAGTATACCTGGTGCAGTGAAGCTTGTGCACAGAAGTCGATGATCGATTTGATAATCGTATCATCTGACTTACGACACTTTATAATGGATGTTCGCGTTAAGAGAGGTGCAGAGCTGTCAACCGATCACAACCTTGCTGTTTGCACGCTACGTTGTAAGAAATGGAGTACCATGCGAAGAGCTGGTGGCAAAAGGAACCAGAAGGTCAAACGGGAAACACTATCGTCGGTGGGTACGAGAATGAAACTTGCAAACAACATCACATGACGGTGTGAACAGATTCTGGTGATAACTACTGATGATGAAACCGAATAGGAGCACTTTAGAGCGGCATAATCGAGGCTGCAGCCGAATGCTCCGGATTGAAACGAGTTGGCCTGCCGCGTTGAGGTCAGAGAAGAACTTCCTGGTGGACATGAGAGACAGTTGGCAGTTAAAAAGAAGAAGTCTGCATTCAAGAACTGCCTTGGAATCAAAGAGCCTTATACTCGCATGCAGTATGTCGAAGCACGCAAAGCGGCACGAAAACAATTGCGAAAGTCAAAGCCGATTCCTGGGAGAATTTCGGTGAGGTGTTGGAGTCGAATTTCCACACAGCAAACAAGGTACTTTGGCAGACCATTCGCCGACTCTGAGGTGAAAAGAAGGGCAGTCTGAGAGTCTTGAAGGACAGGTCTTGACGCCCTCTTACAGAGGATATTGACACTTCACCGATGAAGAGGGTAAGACTACTTTGAGGAACTCATTAACTCCGAGCAACCGCAGGAAGACTCACCTGTAGTACAACAAGGAATATTATTATTTCTGTAGATGAAGTCACAGAGGCTGTGAAAAGCTTTAAAAATGTTAAGACTACTGGATTTAATGAAATTCCCTCTTATACGCGCAAGACTTTAGGCGAACAAGGAATTTGCTGGTTTATACGTATTTATCAAATGGCAGTGGCTATGGGAAAGATGCGAGCGGATTGGAGAACGGCGGCTGTTGTATCGTTGTTCAAGAAGGGGACCAAAGGGAGTGCTCCAATTATCAGTGCGTTACTTTATTGAGCCTCCCAGGTAAAGTTTGCGCAAAGGTGCTAGAAGGGAGATGCAACAGAGTAACTAGCTCCAAGAATTAAGAAGAGCAGTGTGGCTTCCTGCCAGGTCGAAGCACCTCTAGCCGGGTATTTGCCTGACACCACATTGTTGAGAAATCGTAATAGTTCGCCCATCCGGTGTACATGTGCTTTGCTAACCTAGAGAGAGTCTGTGAGAGGATCTCGCACAGCAGTCTGTGGGTATTCCTGCGAAATGCGAGATCGATGGCTAGTTGCTACGGGCCATCCAATCACTGAATTCTGATAGCAGGTGCTGCATCAGAGTAAATGGCGTTATGTCGAAGCCTTTCAGCGTTCTCACTGGTCTCCGCGAAGGCTGCATCCTGTCCCCTATTCTGTTTGTGTTGTACATGAATAAAATAATAAGGAGCAGCTAAGGCGATGAATGTATTGGTGTAAGAGATGTGAAGACGAGAAGGCTGCTGTTTGCCGATGACCTTGTTTTATTGACATCTGAAACTGATCTGCAGTGCTCCCTAGAAAGGTTCGCAGCCGAGTGCGATGTGACCTGCATGCATGTAAATGCATCTAAAACGAAAAGCCTAGTGTTTTTTCGTTCTCCTGCTCGTTGCTCTCTTCAGGTTAACGGAGGGCAGTGGAACAGGTGGAGAAGTTCAAGTACCTCGGAGTCGTATTTACTAGTTATGGAAAATTGGAGGAAGAGATGGACCGGCGAATTCGAGTAGCCAGTGGCATTCTGCGTCAACTAGCCCGATCCATTGTGACTAAAGCAGAGCAGCTCAGTCTGAAAACTAAGCTCTCATTGTTCAAGTCGATCTTTATCCCCATGTTTACCTACGGTTATGAGTCATGGACCATGAATAATAAGCTTCGATCTCTGGTACAGGCGCCTGAAATGGGCTTTCGAAGCCTGGCCTTCCGCGTCTCGCATTGATTGGGAATAGAGACTTCCGCGACAGCCTTGGTGTACAGCCTTTGCTTCTCAAGACTGAGAAGTCACAGCTGCGATGGTTTGGTCATGTGTTGCGATTGCCTCCTGAAAGGAAGGCAGAGCAGCTTTCCCTTGCTGAACGACCGCCTGTAGGCCCAGCGGACCGCGAGAGCAACCTAGTGCAGATATATGGAAGGAGTCTGCTCCAGACTTCAGTTGTTTTCTGCTGAAGCTGAGATTGATACAGAATTGGGAACGTTGGAAGCACTGTCTAACACGTCTGCCTCCACGACCTGACAGAAGAAGCGGTCGTGGAAGATGTAGATTTTGAAATTCAGAATTGTACTTTGTAGAGTTTAAAGCAGTGTTCGATG